ATTCCTGACTTGGACAGTGTTTTCCACTTGCCATCACTTTTGCAAGTTCCCAAAAAGAAGTCCCAAACTCATTGTCCAGCCTGCAGCGAAGTGGAAAACCCCCTAGTAGGGTTTAACCTCCTGCTTGGCTCCCTGAAGTCTATAAACAAAAAAAAAAAAAAAAAAAAACCATTTTATTCCAAAAAAGTTTTACGCACAAAAGTAACCAGTGATCGAGGGAGTTGGGCATCTAAGCCTCCCACCGCCTGAGTGTTCTGTGCATAAGGAAGGTGTCCTCCGGGGGTCGGGTCCGAGCTTGAAGGCGGAGTGGGGGCAGCCCGTCCACGGTCAGGTGTGGCGATTCATAGCACAACGAGTCTGGGTCGCACAGCACGGTCATGTCTGGCCCTGGTCCAGGTGGCTCCTGTTAGAATCGTTGCCCAAACCCACGTTAGACTCAGAATGAGTCCGCAGCGAGGATAGCCAGGGGACGCGGGAGGGGGCCCAGCGGCTGTCCCGTCACCTTCGGGGGTGGGGCTCGGGCCTGCGGCGGCAGCCTCTCCCGCAGCGCGGCGTTCAGAACCCGCTCCTCCGGCACCTGCAGGCTCACCAGGTTCCGAAAGAGCCGCCGAGAACGCGGCACGTTCAGCCCTGCGGGCGCGAGAACGGGGATGAGCGGCGCCCAGGGCCGCCGCGTCTCCCGCGCCCCGTCGGCACGCCCGCCTCACCCTCTGCCACGCTGCCCTCCAGGCTGCAGCGGGTCTGGAACGACTTCCGCAGCTGCTCCTCCACGGCCTTCGCGGCATCAAACGGAGCCGCGGCGCGGGCGGCCTGCAGCTCGAGGCCCAAGGCCAGGCTGCTTAGCAGCGCGGGAGCCTCTAGCTCGTGCGGCGGGGCGGAGGGCGGCTCGGGCCGGACCGGGGAGCGCGCCGGCGCCAAGCGAAAGCGGACCTAGGGACGGAGAGCGAGGCGGTGAGGGGCCGCGCCCGGGCCAGCCTGGAGCTGGGGCCGGGGCTCCCAGCCGCTCACCTGCCGCTCCCTCTGGGCTCCAGCCCGTCGGCCCGCCCGCCCCTTCCGCCGCCCCAGGCTGCAGTCCCGCGGCTCCGAGCTCTCGGGCAACGGGCTCAGACTCAGGTCCAGGCCGGGCTCTGGGGCTGGGGGCTCTGGGGGTGGGCCCGGGGCCGCCACGAACTCCGGCTCTGGGTCCCCACACCCCATCATCTCGGGGTCGCTGGGAGGGTGCGAGGTCGCAGATCCCGCCGGAATCACTGATTTCGGACCCGCCGCCGGCCCCACTCCCCCTCCCCTCGGGGCATCGCCACCGGAAACCGCTAGCCTTACCCAGGGACCTCATCCCGCCCATCGGCGCTCCTACAACGTCATTTCCTTTGCTCCGCCCTCCGTTTCCCAGAGGGTTACACCTCACCAAGTCTAGCTCTCACCCTGAGGTAAGGGGTTAAGTACTGGAACCTTAGGAGTCCTTCGTGTCCACGTTAGGATCCCTTCTTTCCAAAACTCCAGTACGGCTTCCTAGCCTGTTTGAGTTTTTCTCCAGTTTCTGATGGAAGGTTGGGTATGAAGCTAGCTAGCCCTCGCTCTGCAGCGCCAAAAGGAGCAACCTTTACTAAACGACCCAGTGTCTGCATCTAGATCGCCCTGCTGCTAAGTAAGGACCATCGATATTGGAGAAATACAACTATTAACCGGCAAGATGTCAGATGTGCCAGGCATCAAAGAATGAATTCCAAGGGATAATAAAAGTTAAGAATAGGAAAAGTTTCTTATAAAAGAGCTAGAGAGAGATGAGGGGACTTGAAAGTGGGTTGCCACAGGGGCCACTTCTCAAAGGAATATTTTATAGAGCAAAATCAGGAGGGGGCCAAACTATAAACAACTAATAAGATTACAAGTAGCTATTAGCTAATATCGATCCAATAGCGAAGCGTATGCATAGCAGGGGTATGTGGATATAGGGGTATCATTAAAACCCTTGGAGCATAAGACTAATTTTGTCATCAAGGCACACAAACATGGGTGCATTAGATCCACGTTGTTCTTTAGAATATTTCTGTTGAGTTACTGATGTTAATCTTATGAATTTTATTAAGCAATGAGTACTTTACAGGAAAAATCACAAAAGCATACTGAGTTTTTAATATTTACTGTTTATAACAAGCATCAACTGGATTTGGGTGTACAAAGCATAAAAAGCATGAAAAATAAATTCCCATGTGAACTACAATGAAAACACCAGTAGCACTCTACAAAAATAATCTTGACTTCATTTATCACACCTAAGGCAGTCTGCACACACGACAACAGCCCCTTCCACACACATGCATCGCTTACACTGTCTTTTGCTTTCTGGCTTTTTTTTTTCTGTCCTTTTTGTGAAGGTAGTTGACATCTTGGTGGTCTTATTGTTTCTTAGATTATACAATGTGTGGTTAATAGAAACATAAACTACCAATAGAATAAATTATTAAATCAATATGTACTGTACATTTAGAATACACATTAACGTTCTCTTATCAGCTGTGTACTTCCTTATAAAACCTAAAAGATAACATCAGAAATAAATTCCCTTGTGAACTACAATGAAAATGCCAGTGGAACTCTGCTTCAACTGTCTTCGTCAAAGCAGCCTTCACACCTGAAAGCTGCATGTTTCGTGCACACATCTCGCTTACACTAAATGCACCTGCTTGCATTTTCTTTCCTATGTGGCAGTCTCATCACCTATTTTGTATCCCTGTTTTGTCAGGAACTTTCTACACTATTATAAAACATGCACTTAGCAGGGAAATAAGACATCCATAAAATACAGTATCAAATATGTAAGGAGTACTAAGTGTAGAGGACAACATTTTCACATCAGCTGTTTTCTTGCTTACAAAACCTGAAAGATAACATCAAAAAAAAAAAAAAAAATAGGGGCCGGGGAGAGGGCTCAGTAGGATAAACGCTTGACTGGCAAACACAATGATCTGAGTTCAATCCCCGGTTCCACCAAAAAATAAATAAGTAAAAAATTAGGTAAACTATAGGATAAAAGTCTACCACATAAATAGGCTCTGCTTTAACTGTCACACCCAAGGTAGTCTTCACATGTGACAACTGCATGTTCTATACATAAATATAGCTTACACGGATAGCACAAATGTTTTTGTTTTCCTGTACTTTCTTGTAGGACACAGTTGACATCTTTCTTGTTTTCCTGTTGTCACAGCAAGTCGTTGTGATGCATGCCTGCCTGTTGACCTCTCAGCTCACTAGTGTGCTCCACAATATTTTTCGTGTAGTTCCCTTGGCAGAAACCTTTTGTTTTTACTCTGCTGTAAATGATCTCTTGTGAGTTCCAGTTCCAGTTTTCTAAGATTTGTCTGTTATCTTTTGTACTTCTTATTTGCTTTGTAAATTATTAAACTATGCCACACATGTTTAGGATTGAGTAAAACACAACCATTGGCCAAAGCTTTGTGTGTCAAGCGACATCATAGCTGCTGCATAATTCATCAACAACATGTACTCCACCTTTGCTTTTGTTGTTGAAAGCTGCCACCTCAGCCTTCCATTTTGTCCAGATTTCCCTATCAGGATTTCCATAATGGTGAAATGCTGACATCAGCAGTACCAATTTGCTTTTCTTTGCCACATAGGAGGCCAGTCTTTCTGAAACTCGAAGATTGTACTGTACAATTCTCTGTTTCAAAATCACAACATCGGAGCCAGGGAGATAGCTCAGGAAAATAACTGCTTGCCTGGCAAGTGCAAGGGCCTGAGTTCAATCCCCGGTTCCACCAAAAAAAAAAAAAAAAAATCACAACATTTCATCTGGAATTCCTGCTTTGTTCCTGTATGCAGGTCCTACACTTGATCAACTTGTGCTCTGTTAGCAAATCAACTGGAAACCAGGCAACCAATGGTCAACTGTTTGTGAGGTAGAAGCAACGATTCTGTTCACAATGACATTTGGTGTATTACTCTACAAATAAGCACCTGATGGCTAAGCTCTAGAACATATGGCTACATTGAAAAAATAGGCTTTTGCATATACAAGGGCATACACTTTTATGCCATATTGTGACTCATTATTTTTCCATATGTCTTTTGTGTGTGTGTGTGTGTGTGTGTGTGTGTGTGGTATCAGGAATCAAACTCAGGACCTTGCATTGTCCAGGCAGGTGTGTGTCTCTGAGCTACATCCCAGGATTCCCTAATCCTTTCACATTCCTATGATCACCGTGAGGAATCTGTGCTAAATACAGCAGGCCTATGAATGCTTTTAGGTCAGCCAATGAGGTGTCAAAATAAATACATTTTTGAATATGGCTATAAGTGTGTGTGGAATGCTCTTCTTGCATTTTGGCCTTTGTGTATTTCATACCGTGTTATAGCATTTCATTTGTTAAAACATTCAACCTTGCGTGGCAGTGCTGGCATTCTGTCCAATACATTCTGCTCCGGCCCAGAACTTCACTGTATTTTCAGGCCTAATTCTAACAGTCAGTCATTCCATTTGATTGCATGGCCATTTTGCTACATTTTGCCTTGCCAAATATGGACTCCCTTTGCTACTTCTTCCTCATCTGAATCAAGGAGGTCTGCATTCCCTGTGTCTGTATAAGTCCATTCTGGCTCCATTTCACTGTCACAGGGACTTTGGCTCAGGTGCTGTCTCAGTTACTCTTCTCTTGTTGCTGGGACAAATACCCAACACTCAAAAGGAAGGAAAGGTTTATTTAGCTCACAGTCAGGGGAAGTTTCAGTCCATACTCAGCTGGTCCCAAGGCAGAGTGGCACAAGGGACAAAGAGCAGCCATTCATGGTGGTGGCAAAGAGCAAGAGAGCAAATGGGAGTAGAGGCAACAATGGCAACAGAGAGCAAGTCCTTCTCCCTTATGTTATGTTCAGGCTCTCTGCACAGGCTGGGTGAGGCATTCACACCCACAATCCCAGTAACATTTGCATCTATAATCCCAGCAGCACTCACACCAATAATCCCAGCACTGGATCATGAATTTTTTAATATATATATTTAGTACAGGGTCTACAGCATCTCACTACACATATTGGACTTGTGGTGATCCTCCTGTTTTTAGCTTCCCAAGTGCTGGGGTTACAGGCATGCACTACCATGCCCAGTCTCAATCTGTGTCTCAGCCCAGGGGCAGGGCTGGCACAGGCACCCTAGGGATCAAATCTGCCTAAGCAGGCTCTTTAATCCACTGAGCTATCTGGCCAGCCCTCGGATTATTAATTAGTCACAAACTCTAGAAGCTTCCCCATGACTACATGAAGCTTTGGGGGGACACCTAGGTACAAACCATTACAGGTGGCTAATGTCCAAGTCATCATCACCACCCCCGTCCACCCCCACCACTTTCCTGTTATGGAAGCACGGATTTTACCACAGTGGATCATCTTCATCATGCATGCCCGAGTAATCTGATGATTCACTTTTGACCTCCTTCAAAATGTGCAGATCTGAGCTTTTATGTTCCATTGTACTGAATTGGGCTACTTTCACCCAAAAAATCAAAACAAAAACTACGATTTAATTTGTTACAATTAAAACAAATTGTAGGGTTGGTGAGATGGCTCAGTGGTCTAAAGCACCTACTTAGAACAAGCTTAGCAAAGCATCAGGGACCGCGGTTCGATCCCCCAGCACCACATGCCAGCCAGCCCCGCCCCCTGGTGGGCTAAGCTGGCCACACACACAAATAAATAAATAAATAAATAGAAACAGATTTCTAAAAAAAAAACAAAAACAAATTGTAGAGTGGTGTGGGTCTATTGAAAGTTCTGTGATGCTCCAATAAACATGGAAAACCAGTTAGCTGGAGCATAAATGCGGATCCAAATCCCCCATTTTGACACATTTGCACATGCGCACACGCTTTGCTGTTTGTCCTACCAAGTGGGTAAACGCATAGATTGTTTCCTGTATCCCTCAGGAAAAGGGACTGGGACCCACAACTTGCCACTATAATGCTGAAGTACAAATTTAAAATAGAAAAGTAAGGGAGGGATCCACTGGACTTAGTCTTTTCTTTTTTTCTTTTTTTTTTCTTTTTTTTTTTTTTCAGTACCAGGGATCAAACTCAGGGCCTTGTGCTTGCCAGGCAAGCACTTATTCCACTGAGCTATCTCCCTGGCCCTTGAACCTAGTCTTTATGTCCTGAGGAAATTAACCTCAGCTTATCTATAAAGTCTAACAGAAAAAACAGAAGCATTTATGGGGACCGAGGGTCAGAGGTTCTGGTCACTCCTCTGTGCATCTGATGCCTGTCTGGACTAGGTGATGATA